GAGTAGGGCACGTAGTTTCTGGTGTTGTGGTCTGGCCTTGTCTCACGGGTTGGTACTTCACATAGGATTAACGTCATTGCACCTTTCCCCCCTTGGACAGAATTGTCCAAGAAAATTACAGAGGTGCGGTGCGAAAATTTCAGAGGTGCGGTGGCCTTATGGTCAGTGCGCTCGCTCCTGAGCAAATGGTCCGGGTTCGATTCCTGACCAGGGACATTGCGTTGTGTTCTTGGGCAAGACACTTAACTCTCACAGTGCCTCTCTCCACCCAGGTGTATAAATAATCTTGATTTGGAGAGAATTCAGGTGTGACTTGCAGCCAACAAACTAACTTTAAATATGACAAGGACAGAATTCCTACTGACTGGTTCTAAGCAAAGGTTATTAAGTTCTACAGCGAATCCCACTGCCACAATTAACCAGTTTCCAACAAAGCAAGTCTCGACTGTAAAATCCTTAGAATTACACATTGATGAAAATCTTTCTTGGGAGCATCATATCAACGAACTTTCTTAAAAGATTGCTTCTGGTTCAAGCGCCATTAAATGTATTAAGTATACGGTTCCATGTAAGACTCTACTTTCCATCTACAATTCATTGGTCCAATCTCATCTAGATTACTGCAGCTCGGTGTGGGGATCCTGTTCTAAGAGTCTTTCTCAAAAGTTACAAAAATTACAAAATCATGCTGCACGTGTTAAAACTTTTTCAAATTACAATCGTAGTACTAATGAATTGTTGCGAATGGTAAACGCCTTGTTGATAAATCAATAATGATGTATAAGATTGTAAATAATATGGTTCCAGACTATCTTAGTTCGCACTTTGTCTTCCATTCCGATAACTTAATAACCTATAACTTAAGAGATAGTGACTGTTTGCTTGCCATTCCACAGCCCCACACTAATTATTGTAAAAGGAGTCCGAGGAATAGTTTACCCTTGGATATTCATCAGTCACCCTCTCTTGATGAATTTAAATCTCAGTTGAAGAATTATGATTTTGATGGCAATGTCATGTAAGTTTTATTTTGCTTTTATACACGGTTTCCTTGTAAAGCAGGTTTTTTACCATGTCTCTTATTGTCGTGGTTATTAGTGATTTATTAGTTAGGCAGTTAGATTAATTTAATTTACTTTTGTTAAGTCCTCAAGGAAATACCATGTCTAAATAAAGATTTTACCTTACCTTACCTTTACCTAAATGGGTACTGGCAAATTTAATGCTGGGGGGAAGGGGGGAGGGTGGTAACCCTGGGATGGACTAGAAGAAATAGAAGACATTTTCCGTGTTTTTATCAAGTTATAGCAACGTGAGAGAAAGTTTCAGAGAGCAAGAAAAAGCTAATTAGAAAAAGACCTTTCCCACATCCCAACAAACAAATTATGACGCTATGTTGAGGTCAAGTTGAACAAAAATACAGGGAAGGTATGAAAATGTTCACCCTAACCTCACTCCAGTATTATTATTTGTACAGACTGCAGTGAAGTATGGGAAAGGCT